CCGCGCGAACCTTCTTCCCCCGCTGCGCCCCATTCTCCCTCTCCACCCACTTAGTTTATCATCAATCAAATATTAGTTATTAATTTCTTAATTATTTTAATCCCTAAAATCTTTTTCATTATACTTTTGTAACAATCTGCGAGCAGCCCCTTCGAAATTTCTTTTGAAATACGTTGCAACTAAGTAGTTAATACTTCGAAAGCTCATTACTTCCGAATTTCTTTTTCACAATTTTTTTAAATAATTCATCTCTTTTTGGAATACTTTTTATTTCTTTTCAAATTTCTTTGGAACTCCTTTTTGCAATTCGATTACGTTTTTATTAATCATTTTTTGAAAATTTGAATTTGTTTTTTTCATTGCTTCAACTATTTTCGAATAAATTCTTGAAATTAATTCGGAAATAATCACCCTTTTCTGCAATTTTGAAATTTCTTCTGAAAAATTGTTTTTGAACCTTGAAAATAATTGATTTTTACGAAATTATTTTGCAATTTCTTTGAAATATTTTGAAATTAATCAATTGGAATTTCCTTTTCCTCTTCGAAATTCCTTGAATACTCTAGCATTAATCTCTTTTATATATACTCCTAATTCCTTTCGAAATTTTCTTGAAATTCCTTTAATTAATTAGTTCTGAAATTTAAATTCAGTTGAATTAATTCCTATTTCAAACTTTTTTTTTGAATTATTTCTTCCAAAATTGCAACAATTTTTATTTTTTTTCGTAATTCAAAAATATTTTCTTTTGAAATTCCACATTTTCTTGTAAATAAATTTAAGTCTAAATCAGAATTTCTTTTGAAATTAATTCCTCTTGAAGTGTTTATTTTTGAAAATTTCGTTAAGCAAATTTCTCTTTTTCTAAAATTTTGTTCTACCCATATTTCGAATTAATTTCGAATAAATAAAATTCCAAGTCGGAATAAATTTATTTACTCAAAATTAATTCCCACTTTCCCTTCCCCCCCAACCTTATTCCCTTCAAAATCTCGGCAATTATCCTTATTTTGAATTTATTGATAAAGAAATTGTGTCCCCCATCCCCACATGCCACCGCGCCAAACCAAGAACTCCCAACGCGCCGCCGCCGCCGCTGCCACTGCTGCTGCTGCATCCTCCACATTTGTTCCGGCCCCGTCCTCCACCCGCTCTTCCCCCAACATGGCTCAATCATCCATCAACATGTTTGATATCCGCTCGGACTCCGTCGACAAAATTGCCCCTGAACTCGCAGGCAATCCGCCAACTTTGACCACCGCCACCCCGGAACTCACAACTTTCCTCCGAACGTTGACCGCCCTCCAATCCTCCCTTGACACCATCAACACCACCATGGCCGCCATCTCCGACCGTGTCACCACGCTCGAGGGAAACACCCCCGCCATCACGGTCGTCACCACGACCACACCCTCCTCCACACCCCAAACCACCCCCTCCTCCGGACAAGCCTCCGCTTCAACCTCCACATCAACATCACCGCCATCTTCATCCACCATTACCTCCACCGTGGCCACTCCACCTCCCCTCTCGCCCAAGGTGAAAACCCCCGCCGTCACACAGTCATCAACCATCCCCCCCCAATCAAAACCCCTCTTATCCACCTCCACTATCACCTCAACTATCCCACAATCACCTCCACTATCACCTCCACTATCACCTCCACTATCACCTCAACCATCCCCAACTACACTTAGATTATCCCACAAGCTGTGTATCCCGCTCCTCCACTACTTCCTCCAAATGCCCTCATCCCCACCAACCCCGCCAATGATTTCACCCTGGTCGCCATCACAAACAGAGAAGGCAAAATCCCCCCATCATTCCTCGCCAAGGGGATCCCCACCTTCTCGGGCCAACCCCATGAGGACGTTCTCCGCTTCCTCACCAAACTCCAACAAGCCTTCTCCCTCCACGCCATCCCTGTTATCCACTGGCTCCCCATCACTGGCAGCCGACTCCTAGACAACGCGGCTCGCTGGTGGTACACTGAAATGTCTAATCGCCACCACTCCGGTCTCCGGCCTCACACCTTCCTTGAGTGGGCCACGCTCATCACCTCCACCTTCCGCCCACAGAAAACGGTTGAGGACTATATCGACCAATTCTGTCGGCTCCAACAAAACGGCCCAACCGACGGTTTTGTGCAATACGTCCGCTCGCTTCGTCAACATATCCCCATTGATGTCGTCAGCGATTTCACCTTCATCTCCTGCGTTAAGCGCGTATGCCGCAAAGAGCTAGCGGCCGCCCTTGTCCACGAGCCACCCATGACCCTTGCCGACCTCCTCACTCATACCCTCCAACTCGATCGCATCCTCTCCCCCTACAAGACCGCACTTACATTGGCCCCTCCCCGCCCTCGCTTCTTCCACGGCATCGCCTCCGAGGACACCACCTCCACCACATCGGACGAGTTCACTACATCGAACCCCGACGCATCTTCCGATTCACTCGACTCTTCATCCCTCTCTTTCGAGGAACTCGATGTCGTCCAATTCATGAGGATGGAGCGCAGTGATTGCAGCTCTCGACCACCCTCATCTACCCCACCCTCACGCCTCAAGAGACTCACCCCTGAGGAGCGCACCTATCTCCAAGCAAAAGGGGGTTGCTTTTGTTGTCGCCACCAACAAACCAACTGCCCCAACGCCACACAATTCACCCGCCAGTCCACCTCCACTCGACCCGCACCGCCCTCGGCAAGCGCGGGTCCCTCCTCATCATGAACACAGTCCCCAGGACATCAACCCAGCATCAACACCGCGTCTGTAGGCCCACCCATCGGTGACGTCATCCGTCCCATCGATGGCTCATTTGGCATCGACCATTCGTCTGCCAACCCCTCTTCCGGTGACGCACATCCCACCGGACAATCTCCAGGCATCGCAGTCTACTCCGCCTGCCCCCCTCCCGACGATGTCCCCTATTTCGTCGGATGAACCCTCCACTGCCACGTGTTCTTCCACCTTCCTCCCTAACCCATCCGCCAACACTTCCACAGATTTTGTTGAGGAACGAGCCCGACACGATCGACTCATTAGGTTAGCCCTCGAGCAACGCCGCCTCAACACTATGATCTCCTCTGCTTGTGTCGGATCCGCACAGTTCCAGCTCAAGTTCATTCCCGTTCCCCTCGGTGCATCGACGATGAAGTTTCGGGCCCTCCTTGATATTGGCGCCACCGACAACTTCATCACCAACGCCTGTGTCCACAAAGTCGGCTTATCTTCCACCGGCTATGACTTCCCGATCACTATCCGCCTAGGGGATAAGGACTCAGCCGTCGCCGTCGATCGCACAGTCTTTGAGACCACCATGACTGTCGGCCCCCTTCGCAGTCAGGTCTCCTTCGATGTCATGCACCTTACGTGCGACATCGTCCTAGGGACCCCGTGGCTTGACCGTTACATGCCCTACTCATTCCACCCCTCCTTCGTCCGCCTCACCAACCCTCCCGACTCTCCCGTTGACATCCCCTACCTTCTTCCCCCTTCCACCCCCACCCCCCGTCTCCCCAAATCAATTCCTCCACGTCCCGTGAACACCTTGACTCCGCTTACTATTGCCTTGTCATCGACCGCGAGCGTCCCGAGGACTTGCCTCCAACAGACAAACCCGACCAAGACCCTCCTCTCCGAATTCAAAGATGTCTTCCCCGAGTCCATGCCCGCTGGTCTACCTCCCGATCGCGGTGTATCCCACACCATTGATCTTGAGCCCGGCCACTCTCCTCCTTGTCGCCCCCCGTACCAGCTTTTCGTCCCCGAGGCCGAAGAGATGAAGCGACAACTTAATGAACTCCTTGAGAAAGGATTCATTAAGCCTAGCTCCTCCCCCTTCGGAACCAGTTGTCTCTTCGTTAAGAAGAACGGCACCTCGGAACTCCGCATGTGCACAGACTACCGTGCCTTGAACCGGATCACAATCAAGAACAAGTACCCACTCCCTCACATATCCGAGCTTCTTGATCGCCTCCGTGGAGCCAAGTATTTCACCAAGATCGATCTTCTCAGTGACTTCCACCAGATCTGCATCCGCGAGGAGGACACCCACAAAACCGCCTTTCGCTTTCACTTCGGGCACTACGAGTTCCTCGTGATGCCCTTCGGACTCACCAATGCCCCCGCAACATTCCAATCTACAATGAGTCACATCTTTCGCGACCTCCTCGAAGTCTGTGTCGTGATCTACCTTGATGATATCCTCGTCTTTAGCCCCACCTTCGAATCCCACCTCGAACACCTTTGCAAAGTTCTCTCCATCCTTCGAGAACGAAAGTTTTACGCCAAGCTCAGCAAGTGTACATTTGCTGCCCCTAGCGTAGAATACCTTGGTCACATTGTCTCGGCCGACGACATCCACATGGACCCCAAAAAGGTCTCCGCCCTCGTCGAGCTCACCCGCGCCACCGAGTCCTTCACATGGACTGAACGCCGCCAAGCCGCTTTCGACAAATTCAAGCAACTCGTCACCACCGCCCCTGTCCTCAAGATCGCTGACCCCACTCGCCATTTCTTCGTCACCACTGATACCTCAGACTTCGCCACTGGGGCTGTCCTGTCCCAACATTTCCCTCCTGACCCCACCAAGATCCCCTCTGTCAAAGATTCCCCTACTCACTCAAAGTCCCCACGCGGTGAACACCCCATTGCCTTCACTAGCAAGAAACTGCTTCCCGCGGAGATGAATTACCCCTCCAACGAGAAGGAACTCCTAGCCGTGGTCTACGCCCTCAAAGTCTGGCGCCCGTACCTCGACGGGCAATACTTCACCATCCGCACTGACAACATAGTCGTCTCCTCCATCCTTACCAAGAAAGACATCAACCCCCTCTAAGCCCGATGGCTAGACTTCCTTTCCCAGTTCACCTTCACCATCTGCCACACCCCCGACAAAAGCAACCGCGTTGCTGATGCCCTCTCCCGTCGCCCCGACCACAAGGCCCCTGAGAAAGTCTACGCCGCCATGACCCACATTCAACTTCTTCCCTCGTTACATCGCCACTACACCCAAGGTTACCTCTCTTGCCCAGACTTCGCTTCCATTTACTACCAACTCTGCAACCTTGACTCAGTTCTTGACTACTCTCTTCATGACAATCTACTCTACATTGACACCAAGGGCACTCGTCGACTCTGCATCCCTCACGCACGTGGTCTTCGTACCCAACTCTTGGCCGAGCACCACGACGCCAAGACAACTGGCCACCTCTGTTTCCAGAAAACCTTCAACACCATCTCCCGCTACTTCCATTGGCCTTCTCTACTCGCCGACGTCAAAGCATACATCCGCTCGTGCCCCACCTGTCAAGTCGTTAATCCCTCGAACCGGGCCAAGCCCGACAAGCTCCAATCATTGCCCATCCCTACCCACCGGTGGCAGTCTCTCCATGGACTTCGTGTGCGGCCTCCCCAAGACCGACCGTGGGCATGATTGCATCTACGTCATTGTTTGTCGTCTGACCAAACGCGCCCACTTCATTCCTTGTATCACCTCGCACAATGCCAAAGACATCGCCATACTCTTCTTCAATCATGTCGCTCGCCACCACGGTCTCCCCGAGAACATCACCAGTGACCGCGATCCCCTCGTCCTATCACAATTCTGGAAACACCTCTTCCAAGCCTACGGAGCCACGCTCAAGTATAGCACTGCATTCCACCCCCAGACCGATGGCCAGACCGAGAAGATGAACGATACTCTTCAAAGAATTATGCGGAAGTATTGTCATCCACACCAACATGACTGGGATCAATTGCTCACAGCCGCCGAGATTGCCGACAACAACGCTGTCTGGCCCTCCACTGGCATGTCCCCTTTCTACCTCGACCTCGGCTACCATCCCCGCTTGCCCTCTGATTTCTTGCTTCCCTTGCAGCTCAGCCCCTCCACCCCTTGCCCCTCTCTCAATGAATGGGTAGCAACAATGAACAGACTTCTCGGAGAAGCAACCGAAGCCCTTGAAAGAACACAAGAACAACAAGCAAACAAGAGTAACAGACACGGACGTGACATGTCATTCAAAGTAGTGACAAAGTCTGGCTTTCTGCCAAATGCTTTGAACCCGAACAAGGCTTGTCCAAGAAACTCTCGAACAAGTGGCTCGGTCCCTTCCCCATCATTGAACAAACCTCTCCCGTGAATTACAAACTTCAACTTCCACCTGACATGTGTCGCGTCCGCGTCCACCCAGTCTTCCACGTAGAATACCTCAAGGAATACCACGAATCCCCGCCCCAGTTCGTTGACTGCCCTTATCCTAGACCTCCACCAATCATGCTTCCAACAGGCCCATAATTCATAGTCGAATCGATCATAGGACGAAGAACAACTCAAGTATCAGATCACCCGGAGCCAATCACCGAATACAAAGTAAAATGGACCGGATACCCTGCTGAAGAATCAACATGGGAACCCCTTGATACTCTCAAGAATGCCATGAAACTTGTTCGTGCCTATGATCGTGCCTACCCTGTATCCTAACTATACCTCGACATAAACCCTAAACCCTCGCTTAAAACCCTGCTACAACCTTGCAACCCTGCTCTATACACGCTTGAACCCAGCCCACCCTCCCCTAGACCCTGATTCCTGATGTCTGATCTGCCCTTGCCCTCGCCTAGCCTTGTCCCATTTGTCCTCTCCACTACCTTGTCTCTCTTGTCCAATGCTTGTGGACCTGTGTGACGCCGGTGATAAAGGATCTAATGGCAAACGCACGAGGACGATGGCCTGCTGCCTCACTGATCATGGAGATTATGCAGCTGGTTTGGCCACCATGTTGTTTCATCGGCCGACATCCCGACTCGCAGACGTACTGGAGCAGCAACTTGTGACATGGATCTTTGCATCAGTCTGCGACTTCCTTGCTTCCAGATCAGACCTCATTGCAGGTATATTGCAGTTCGTGCACCGGACGCACCCCAGCATTTGGACTTTGGACATTTGAACTACTGCTACGCTTCTTGGACTTCTACCTGTCGCAGCCGCTGAGGACTGCTTCTACCACCTACTCCAAGACCTGATCAAGACCTACTCCAAAACCTGATCAGGACACTTTGTTCTTACATGAGATTTTGCTGCCCACTCCTTCGGACATACCAGCCCCTGCATCCTGCACAAACACTTTCATTTTTCATGACAACCCTGTAGAACATCATTAGAAAATCTTTGTTCCCCTAACCCTTGTTTCCCTTACTCACTAGAACATCAATAGAAATTCCCTGACCATTGTTCCCCTTACCCATTAGAACATCAATAGAAATTCCCAGTTTTCCTGGACATTGCTTCCCCTTACCCAGTAGAACATCAATAGAAATCCCCTGTTCCCTGAACATTTCTTAGCTTCCCCTGTCGACCTACCCAGTTACATCATACCTTCACCTGTGCAGAACATCTGACAGAATACCCTGTGACTTGCATCACCCCCCTTCTCCTTTTCCGACCCATCCCGTCCTTCACAGTTCCTTTTTGTTTCCTTAGGTTTTTGGCAGCCGGGACGTTGTCTATCAGAGGGAGGGGATAGTGTTACGGACTCCGCCAGGGCTCGACCCCTGGTCTATTTTGTTGTTGTTTTTGCTACATCCGATTTTTGGCCTGGCACCCTTTTCCCAAACCCCTCCTTTGGTACCGTCGGATTTTGGACAACTGGCGCCATGCTACAATTCGGGCGCCACTTTCAAATGCCGCATTTCTCAGTTCTGCCCTCGGGGCTTTTGCAGAGATGCCCCTGGTACCGTACGTGTCACCGACACTTATACTGGTTCCCCGTACAGTACGGGCAACCAGTCTCGTACGAGTTTCAGCTGCTGTACTCGTACTCAGTGTGACTTGCTCCTGTTTTCAGCATTCGGAATCCAAGACTTCAACTTTGTGTCCTTGCCACTGTGTCTGCGTCTGACCCTCAGTCGTGTCGAGTGAGTGAGTGTGTGTGTGTGCTCTCACTCTCTCCCTCTCTCTCCCCTCTCCCTCGGCTCTCCCTGTCTCCCTCGGCTCTCCCTGTCTCCCTCAGCCTTGCGCTCGTTACTCTCTCTCTCTCTCTCTCTCTCTCTCTCTCTCTCTCTCTCTCTCTCTCTCTCTCTCTCTCTCTCTCTCTCTCTCTCTCTCTCTCTAGCCCTGTATCACTCAACCTCACAATCTCTCTCACTTCCGAGGATCATGCCCTGGATACACCCAGTCAGATCTGACTCCAACCTTGGCGGCTATGGCTGCCCTATTTCCCTATCACTATCCGAGCTATGGTTGCCTTCGGCGCTCCCTTCTTCTTCGAGCGCAATCTTGCCCAAGTCGCTTGGTCACACAAGCAGCAGCAGCGCGTTCGCAACTTTACGAATGAACAACTGTGTCTCGTTGCGGCACTGTAGCAGCTAAATATAGGAATTAGACTTGGCTTCGCTTGCCTCAGGATGGACCAGTACTGGTCAGCAGTGGCCTGTCTGTGGCAATCATTTTGTCGGTCGGGAATCTTTCGGGCTTTCCTGGGACTTTGCTGCAATTTTGTGAACTCTGGTACTGGACTTGGACTTTCCGGATTTTTCGATGAGGTACCGGACAGGCTGTACAACGATGCAGCCCTCTGGACTTTTCCGTGGGTACCAGCCCCTCAACTCCATCCTGACTCTTCCGGATGTTTCCTGGATCGGGCCTATGACGTTTTGCTGGCCTACCAGACCTCGACAATTTATTGGCCTCTGGGACTGGGGACTTCGGACCTTTGCAATGACTTCCTGGTTCTGTTGCCTGTGACCCGTCGACCCGAGGCTGTAACATAGGTAGGTTAGACTTGTAATTTTTGTTTGGCTGAGGGCTAACCGAGAGACCTACCTGTTAGGAAAATTCATGAGGGACATATCTGCAAATTTGGGAAAATATAGGCCACACTAACTAGAATTCCCTACAGCTACCCTAACTATGAATAGCAGGCCCGGGCTACCACTAGGACGGACAGGCCCTAAAGGCCTATGCCGATAGACGGTCGTATAGCCTATAGTCAGGTAGGGAGAGGCCCTAGAGGCCGAAACTGAAACGGTACCGGTCGGTCCAGTCAGTCTAGTCTTGGGTAGTGTAGTTCTATTAAGAGATTGTAGGAATCGGTTCAGGGCTTTTGGCAGTTGGTACCGTGCACAACACAGCTGCGCAATGCATGAATTGGAGGTGGTACAGCTTCAGCGTTGGAGAAGACAGACATAGCCGGACCTGCGAAGCCTCGGCCATAGCTGGGACCTGCGCTGTTCTTTGACAGCACGCGGGGCTGTTCAGAGGTCCGGGCTATCTGAAGTCTGCTGGAGGTCAGAGACGTTGGTGCCCTGCTGAACCCTCCTCAGGAGTAGGGTATCAGGGTGTGTGGCGCTGCAGCCATATCTGCAGCTTTCTTCCTCAGAGATCACCTTTGTCAGGAGAGGTGGCGCTGCTACAGACTTCCGCCCGGGAAGTCTTCCGACACTCCATCATCATCAGATACTGTGGCGCTGGTCTTCCTCTTCATCGTCTGAGAGGCGCTTGGCCTCAGAGGCCTATTTCAGGGTGGCGCTTCCCTCTGGAGGCAGTATCTAGGTGGCACTGGTTGTTTGAGGGACTCAGGGGTAGTAATAGCAGTTACTCAGGGTTGGGGAGTGAAGC